TTTCAAATTTCACATTTAGAGCAAACACTGTTTGGAAACAGCTAATTCCTTTGATTTGCCGAATAAAAACCATATGATAACATACATTCTATAAAAAAGACATATAACCATTTTTTTTCTCTTGGTCTGACAGTCAATCAAATCTTTTTCTGTTTTAGGATAGCCAAAATGATGGAATAATTTATCTTTGCTATAAGGAATTATGAGAGATTTAATTTTTAAACATTGTTAATTACTTTTTTTAAGTAATATGTCTACATAGACTTTGGCTCCTTCTGAATAACTTACATCGTAACTTCTAGCTGCCATGCCTTCACTTTCACCTTTTGTGGGGTCAAAATTAAGAAAATCTTCCAGGAAAGGAGCTCTGAACTGCTGTGCTGAATCAAGACAGCTTTCTGCCTTACGACGCCGATACACATGGATGACGCTGGTAAAATTGGGACAACAGTCTTCTGGAGAAGAACTATAAAAAATAAGTTGCACAAAAATAACAAACTGCAGAAGTTCGCCATTATAAAATCTGAAACATATCAAGATGCATACATTTGGATGTGTTACATGAGAAGAGTACTTGCGAAGAAATGTATTTTCTTAACTCCATTCCTCTACCTAGCTACTTCCTTACTGCCTGCACTATTCAGAAAGCACATATCAAAGTGACAATGGATGCACTTTTGCTTTGGATTTAGTGACCTTACCGATTTGCGCTATTCAGATGGAGCCGAGACTACTACTTTATGCCTTTAAAGAATTAATAAAATTCAACACCATGATACAGTGACTGTCAGTTTACTCACAATACCTGGGTACACTATAGACACATGCTTAGTGTTTTTTAAGACATATCAAACCTAATTCTTCATACCATGAAAAAAATAAAGAAAATAATTAAAGTTATCTTGAAGAGTTTTGTGGATCACCTCATTGGGTACAATTTCCAGGTGCCACAAAATCTCATGCTGTCTATTATTTCTATTGATAAACTAGAATTGATCCAGATTCATTGGGGACACCATTTTCTTTCTTTATTTTTCATCACCCACCTTCTCAGGTTGGGTCTGGTAACTTTTCCATTGTAAAAAAGTGGAAGAAGGGAAAAAAGGGACCAATCACAGTATGAAAAAAAATATTTAAAAGCTATATATCGAAGTTGATTTAAATCTTTATGCTGTGGTTGGAGAACAGCTCCTTTATTCTTTGAATCCTCCACACATCAAGATCAGCTTAGACAACGTGCAGGTCCATGGATACATCCAGGCTTGCAAAGCGGAGCCCTGCTGTCCTTCCTCATTGTTGGGGAGGGGGCCGCGGGCGTGCTTGGACGCATCAGCCGGAGGATCAGATTGCTTTTGTTGGGCCAGTCCCAGGTCCGCGCTGCTTCTCGTGATATCAAAGGGTCCTGTCAGTGTGTGTTAGCAGAGATGAGAAGAGGTGCAAGCACAGTTCAGTGAAGTGTGATCAGCAGGGACCATGGGGCACCCTCAGGACTGCCTGTGTTAGCAGGCAGAATACTCCACTGACAAGACTGCCATATGATGGAGCTGAGATAGAAAACAAAGGTGCTCTAGATGCTCTGATGTATGAGACTACAGCATCTGTAGTGAGATATGCTAGCCAGAGCTTTTCAATTTAAATGCTTCCGAAAATATTAAAGAGAAAAAAAGGTATCAAAGCAGGAGACATCATAGGTGGAATTAATGCTGTAAGAACCTTTGATAGAGGACTAAATAAGCCTAAATAGGTGGGACTAAATAAGTGCTTTGCAGATTGATCCCATATAATTTCATTACATGTAAAGGGGTAGAAAAAACTTACATTGTTTTAATTTCTGTCTTGCTGAAAGAAATGTGTCCCAAAGGGTGATGTCAACGCCCCCATATTTTAGCAATTTTTTTCTGACAGTGGAACCACTTTTACAGCTTTTACTATGTAGGATTAATTATGGCAAAGAAAATCCTTAGTTTATACAAAATTAATAGTAAAGAAAACCATAAAAGTCTTAAAGAACATCTTGCAGAAACCTCAGATTGTACTCACCAACATCTTTACTATAATTTCAATAATTTAGAAACTGAACCAGTTGAGGACATTTGATTCACAATGGTTTTAATGGGGCATTGTGCCCTAACAAACCCATTGTTTTGCACTTTTTAGCCAAATGTGAATAAATAGTGGCAACTTTTGCCTCATAAAAGAAAATCTAGTCAAAGAAAAGTTCTAAAAGGGAATTCTACTGTAAGACTTCTGCTTATGACAGGACCTTTGGTCATGACAATAATGCTATATATCATCATCTCTTCCCTGTCCAGTTCATAGAGCAAACTGTTCTTAAAGCACAGAGGTTATATAAGAGAGTACAACTACTTTTATAACCGTTATAATTCATGGAAATTGCGAAACCTGACAACATCCAATAAGTCCAGACAATCGGCTGCCGACTGTATTCTCAAAGGAATCGCAGACACGAAGGGCGGAGCAACAACATACTTGTGTACTGAAGTATTTTTTGATGCAAGAATCTGCCATGTTTATAACAGACCTTTTTAAACTGCATCATCTGTGCTAAAAGTCCAGTTCAACAGAAAGTATTACTGAAAAATATACTCCCATATCACAGGATTGGATGTGTGAACAATATTCTCCAGTATGATAAGACCTACAATAGGACAGAGGTTATAAGCAGATAAGGAGAGGATGGTGGAGGTCAGGAGTCATCACACAGGAGGCCAAACATCCTCTCTGATACTACAAAAAATCACGTCCCCCCTGCTGTTGTTGCAGCCAAACCCGAACATCCTCTCTGCAGCACAAACACAGTAAGTGCCTGCCTAACAACCCCTCCTAGTCTGTAACTAATAACATGCTGTGCAAAAAACAACCAATTATGAAAGGTTTTTTTTTTTTATAAAAATGTTGACACTTTGTACTGATTCTCTATGGGAAAAAAAGTTAATGAATATACATTTTCTTCCCTCTTTTAAACGTTACATTTGTTTAAAAGCAGGCTGGTGGGTTACTTTTGAAGACGAAAAATGAGATGTGATAAATTGAAACACTTGTTGACACAGCAAACACTAAAACACGTGTTTTAGCTGTTATTCTTTCCAGTTTGCATGAGCGTAAACTTCACATTTCTTTCTGGCTGTAGAGCAGGTATCACTCATCAGGTTAGCGCTTATGTTTTGGGGGTAACAGCTCCTCGTTTATAGAAGAAAAAAAACGATGTTTCATCAGCAGGTGTGACTCCTGACCCTCGTTGAGTCTCACTCTATCAACGTACCTGGGCCTGATCTCTCAGCCTGTGCATGCAGAGACATGCCACACAGCTACAGTCTTTGTCTGCTCACCTGTCTGCATGGATACAATATCCACTTGGTTAAACAGCAGCAGAACCTCTGACTACTCCTCATCACTCATCTCCTTTGCAAATCCTAGAATAATTTCTTTGAAATTATGGCTGCTTCTAAATCCAAATAATTAAATAGGATTTGTTTATTGTTCCTCTTAGAAAATGTTGGATTTTAAGGTGTTGATTCTTTGGTTAACCGTCCATTTATGACTAATGAGGAGGAGACTGATCGTAAAGCTACTTGTGTTCGGCAGGAATTTGCCGGTGATGTCAAAGCCCAAACATCCACTGGCGATTCACCAATAAGTTTCCTTGATTTATTTTTTGGGGGAGGCAAAGTTAATATTTTAAACAAGGATAACATTCCTGGCGACACTCCTGGAAGACGCAATCACACGCAGACACAAGCATGGGGTGTGCACTTTGATTAAACAGGCAGATGTTTCCATGTGTTTCCTAAACGGATGAAAGGCAAGGGAAGCTCCTCACAGACTTGCATTAGACACAACTTGGAAGGGGACCAGGCAGAACCACCCAGGCCTCCGTGCTGTTTCCTCCCCAGTGAGCCCTCCACACACTAAAATCACACAGTTGGGCTTTATCTCCAGAGGAAGGATCTGGCTCGTGGGGAGCATGTGGGGACATGATAACTTTATCGTGTTGCGATAAGAAAAAAAGTGGTTGGATGATAAAATAAATACCTTTTAAAAGACAAACATATTTTCAACATGTTTATTTTTTGTTTCCTTGATTGGACTACTCTTTGAAAATATTTATAGAAGCATCGTCTTTCTTGAGGATTGCAATTGGCAGTGCCTTAGATCAAGCTACTGGGTCGTTGCCAAACTATTTTAAATCCAGCTTATTAGACCAAAACCATATTGTTTCATTTTGCGGTTGTCAATCTGAGGGAACAAAGATCACATGTGGTTCTCCAAGGCTCTAATCTTAGAGCATTTTTATTTTAGCATCAATCAAGATTTACAGCATCCCTAGAAAATCTTTATTTCTGCATAAACAGATATTAAATAAATAAAGTCCTCTTTATGACTTTATTAGAGTTGCTGGTGAGGTATAAACTATCATGGTTTCTCAGAGAGCTGTGTTCCAAGGACCCAATCTAAACAAGAAGAAGCAGTATTTAGTTTCTCTGACCTTTAGCTTTGGAACAAACCCTCTAAAGGCTTGAGGTGTAAAGAAAAATAAGGTTTTGTTAAAAAAACTTCTGAAACCCTTGAAATTACTTTATCATTTAATTCTTTTCATATCTTAGTTATTTGTCAGTTTTAGACCTTTATTTCAATCTTTGGAATAAATTTTTTTTCTATAATGTATAATAGTTTTTACCCTAATTTCTTTATTTTCTTGTAATAGACCTTTAATTGCCATCTCTATGAATCTTGCTATTCAAAAAATGTACACTGCAAAAAATGTAAATTTAAGTAAGTAATTTTTTCTTAAAATAAGTGCATTTTTTCTTGAATTAAGCAAGTAAGTGAGACACGTTGCCAATGGAACAAGACAATTTACATATAAAATAAGAAAAAAAAACAGCAGACTCTTATTTCAAGTGCATAATATGTTATTATCATATTTTAAGGGTAAAATTGCTAATTCCATTGGCAGATCATCTTATTTTCCAACTCAAATTAAGGGTAAATACAACTTCTTTAAGACATTTGTGCTCATTTTCAGAATGTTTCTTGCAGTGTACCTTGGATTTGAGGTGTGTAAAACATACCCCTGCTGATTGTTTCTGATAAATGCAACATCACTGAAAGCCAGAAACCCCTCGTAATGCCACTGGGAGTCACAGGTGGGTGTGGCACTTACCTGAATGGGCAGATTGTAACAATTATGGTGTTACCTCCACTCATACAAGGGCCTCATTGTTGCATAGTATAACTCTCTGGGCTGCAGTCGGATCTGAGGCTTGGCAAGATGAGAGCGGGAGTGGGTCGAGGTGATGAGAGAACCCAGCGCTGAATTGCCGGCTTTGTTCGCAGGCACATCTAGGGATTCTGGAGCCTGCAATAGACGAAGCTCAAATTTGACTTTTTTTTTTTTTTCACTGAGTTTCACACGGCGTCAGACATGTGAAAGCATGTTTTAATCTTCAACCAGAAATCCTCCAATATCTCTTGCATATAAAAACAAAGGCGCAGCTATAAGGACAAAAGTTATTTGAATAAAGTCTGTATGATTTGAGTTAGATGTGGAAGTTGCTGAGTGCTGCACCTGTACATCATTTTTGCAGTCAACACCCTCCTTTGTGTGTGTTTCTCTACAGTTCATTAGTGGTGTCTGTATCACCTGCTGCAGCTGGTTTGTGATTCACCTGCACAGACGCGTGTCTCATCATGATGACATCTCGGGAATATTAGCAGGTGTGTTTCTGCCAAATGAACCCTGACAAAAGCAAAAGAAAAACAGATTTAAATGCCATGTACAATGCTGTGAAAAAGTATTCAGACCTTACAGACTTCTTCAGTTTTTTTCTTTATTTTCACATTTTAAAGTTTGAGGTTATCAAATAAATTTCAGTATAAGCAGAGTTTAATTTGTTGAAGGGAAAAAGGTAAATAAAACAAACGAGTACTCTTTGTTACCTAAACTTGTTTATGCCACTGCTGTTACTAATGGCTGCCATAAGTTATTTGAGGCAACTTGTACAAACTGCTTAACTGTCTTGGATGGGTCCTCAGTGCATTCTCTTTGTAACTTTGGTATGTTGGATATTCCTGGGAAGATTCAATATTTTCTTAATTTGCAGAAGTGTCAGAAGTATTTATGTTTGTTACTAAAGTAGAAGTATACATAATACTTAAAATATACATCAAAAACAGGTTCTGTTGAAGTTGAAGTGTCAACCTTTTTACTTAAGTAAAAATATTAAACAACCACTTTCAGAATTACTTAAAGGTATAGTGTAGCACTTTCTCAGATTTTTGAAAAGACTCACCCTCTCCACTTAAAAAAAGAAATGCACATACATAACCCTGTACCTGCTCCAGAGAGGGGATGCCTATTAAACATGCACAAGAGCGTGCATGAGCCCATTTCTCCTCATGCATGCTCTGTTTAAAAGTTTTCATCACTCATACAAGCCTACTCTCCAAAAGAAGATTTATAATTTCTCCATCATTTCAAACTCACTAAGTTAAAATGGGGACGAGCACGTAGGACGGCTTTACGTAAACATATCACCAGATGACTGACATTACAGTAGGAGGACCACTTATTTTGATGATCCACCTGGAAAAAGAACATCCTCCATTATACCTTTTGTCATGATTTTTGGTTCTGTTTAAGTTTTATCTTTGAGTTTTCCTTGGTTTTTATTTCAACTTTGTGTTCTAGTTATTTTTTATTGTATTTGAGTTCTTAGGTATTTCTTGTTTGCCCTCTGTTCCTCTCTTGTGTCCGTCTCCTTTCCCCTAGCTCCCTTCTAGGCTCCTCTGTTCATACCTGCCCCCAATCTGCTGATTAGCCTGGTTTTTGGTAAATGGCCTGTACTTATATAGCGCTTTTTCAAGTCAGGAGACTTGACCAAAGCGCTTTACACTACATTCAGTCATTCACCCATTCACGCACACCCTCATGGTGGCAAGCTACATTGTAGCCACAGCTGCCCTGGGGCTCACTGACAGAAGCGGGGCTGCCGTACACTGACGCCACCGGGCCCTATGACCACTATCAGCAGACAATGCAGATGAAGTGTCTTGCCCAAGGACACGACAACACTGAAACTCGGAGCCAGGGCTTGAACTGTCAATCCCTCGATTTCAGGGCAAACTCCTACATCCGACGCCACTGTCGCCCTCTTTGTTTCCCCTTCCCATATATGCATCTCCTGCTCAGTCACTGTTCGCTTGTTTTTTTGTCATTTCCTCCCCTTCAAGTGAATTTTCTGGTTTTCTGTATTTTTGTGGATCCCAAGGATTTATGTTTATAGATTATTTGCTTCTGTTGCCTTTTTTAAATAAATAAATCTGCCAGAAACCACCTTCAACATCATTCTCTGTGTTTGGGTCCTCCTCTCAAACCTTCACCCATCCTGATACCTTTAAAATATGAAACCAAAAGTAATGTACAAAAAATGCCATTATGGATAAAACTTTAGGCTGCACCATAGGGGCCCATTTCACACTACCCTTCCACCGGATTTTTTTCGAGCACTGTTGAGTATTAATGAAAACGAGCTAAAATAAAAAATAAGCCACTACTCTACTTTAAAGATGAAAGTAGTAGATATTACAGATTAGAGATAAGAGTAGAAGTAAAGCGTTTTCTAAGAAATAATTAGCCCAGTAAGAATATCTAACTAACATTTCTAAAGTAAGGTAACAAAGTATTAGTACCTCTTTACTTGACTACCTGTTTATCTATTTATTATAACTCTCCTAATTGGTCATTAGATATAAAATATTTCATATCTCTCTTTAGACTAATCAATGTCAATGGCTTTGTTTCTAACCTTTTTCCAGCATTTATTTAGACTGGGTAAGTTAAGATATTTCAGCTAAAAACATCCCATATTTTTATGTAATTCTTTTGGAAAACAAATTTTCACTGATGAATAAATATGTGAGAATCCTTTTGGTTTTACTTAGATCAGAGATTAAAATCTGTTAGACTAACATTTGTATTTGATAAAAGATAAACAGCTATATTAGGTAAAGAATTTTCCACAGGACATTTCATATTCTTTGATGTGTTGGAGATCTGCACATATTAATAAAAGAAAATATTAAAAAGCTTTGACTAGAGGATCTTTAAATCTTTCCACAGCTTTCAATGTGACATTTGACCTGCAGAAGCGTGTGGAGAAACCGGATCATGTGACTCAGGGAGCGTGTGTGGAGTGTGCCAGTTGTGTGCAGAGAGAAGGCGGGTTGGGTGTTGTAGGTTTGTGCATCAGATACACAAACCGGCTCGACCAGTCGCTGATTCAGCCCTGCTGTTCTACAGGTGTTTGTTTGATTGTTTTGCATGCTGCAGATGTTGAGCTGCTTCAGCAGAGCTAAACCAGCACTCCATACAGCAATACAAACATGTCCACTTTCAGTGATCCCTCAGCAGATACTGAAGCAGCAGCCTCTTTCATCATCATGCGGGTCAAGTCAGGGAGATTATTATACTTGATTCCTTTGATTTGGATTAAACTCAGGGGCAAGATTTTGATACTAGTGTAGCACTTTTGCACTGACAAAATAATTGTATATACTCATACATGACTGATTTCCCCAAGACGCCTATCTGGACGTTTCAGTGAACTGAAAATGGTGTTTTTCATTTTGCCCTATTCGCTACTCAGCCTGTTCAGCTCAAAAAGGCTCATTTCACCACAGGCTCTGTTGGCAGACAGTCGTGCAAGACCTTGAGATGAATAAGTTAGAAAAGACAGCCCTAACAGGTTATTTTTGTGCTGATGTACATTTTGTTTTTTCTTAGCCTCCTGCCTCAGCACGTCTGTATTGTTTTCCTTCATGACACCAACAGATCACTTTGAGTATTTAGCAATGGCCTGAAGAATTACACAACCAAGGAGCAGAGTTTTAGTATTTTTCTAAGCCTAAGTTCACCAATAGAAAAGCAATCCCTTAACAGCACACTGAAAGATAATAAAAAAAATGAAATTCAATAGTTTCATACCCTGGGAAAAATAGCATACTTTCCACTTGGAAACAGTTAAAACAACACCTCTTAAAACTTGGAAAAACATCACCCACAATGTTTACTGAGGATGCATTACCTTTACCTTTCTTTTGGTTTTGGTAGATGGCATTTCCTTTACAAAAACATACAAGGGTTTGAGTTTTGCAGGTTTGAGGTGAAACACTAATAACAAAGATAGAAAATGCAGAGAAAATAACATCTTGCAATAACATGAACCTATTTTCCAAGTTATTGTGCTCATAGCTGAAAATAGTTATACATATGATTTTAAAGAAGAAGAAGAATATAAGACACTCAAATGCAAACAGTTAAATTTCTTTGGATATTTTACCACTTCAGCATTATAGTCTTTAAAAGGGCCAGTTGCAGCTGCATGAATTAAACATCTAATTAATTAATTGACTCACAAAGACCACAGTGCTCTGCTACTATAATCTTACAGATGTTGATTTAGCAGGTTAAGTTGCTTTGTAGACTTAAAGATACCACATGACTCTATTTTATTATCTTTTGCTTCTTGAAGGACTTGATAAATTGTTTTGTTGGTCTGGATTCGGCCCTCAGGCCTTCAGTTGACACGCGATCTACAGACAAGGTTTCTCAAACTTCTCTGTATCATAATTGGATTTTATCTAAAAGAGAAAAAAAGAGGCACAAAAGCATAACAGACCTGCTTTTCTCATTTTCAAGAATTGACTTAAGCTCAATCTGATTGGATGGAGAGCAAAAATAGACTGAATCAAAAAAAAAAAAATAGAGTGTTACTGTATTATAGTCAATTAGGACTGGGGTAAATTGAACATTAGCCATTTTGTTGTAGTTCTTCCTGTATGCTCACGCTTGTATATGATTGAACGTCTGGCTACTTTCACGTCTTGCAGATCTTTTTGCTTGGATTTTTTTTCTTTTTTTTTCAATCCATCTTCTTCAATATTCCTTATATACTCATTGCTCCTACTTCAAGTCTATAGGGAGTGGTAGCCTAGTGGTTAGGGCATTGCGCTTGGCTCTCAGAGGTTCTGAGTTCAAGCCCTACTCCTATGGATTGCCACTCTGAGTCCCTGAGCAAGACCCTTAACCCCACACTGCTCCCTGGGTGCCGCACAATGGCAGCGCACTGCTTCCCCAAGGGGATCAGTTGAATGCAGAGTGTTAATTTTGTTGCTTTCTACTTGTGACAGTGTAATGACAATAAAGTTGAATCCTAAAAATTCTTCATTCTATATGTCTTTGCTGTGTATTTTCATCCCTTTCCCCATCTTTAGACAAACCTTTTATTAGCTTGTGAATTGATAAGTTATTATCACTCACTGTACAAACCACACCAGTGGCTAGACTCTATCTTTCTGAATTTCAGCTCTTATAAGAACTGCTATCCGTCACCAGAGGATATTAAAGAGCTCTTTGTCTTTTAGCTTCATAATCACTCCACAGTGTCAGAATTTCCTCAGATGGCTGCCGCACTGAGTTTATACTGAAACTTGAGTAATTGTTGACCCTCAACAGTTCAATGACTGTTTCTTAAGGCAAACCATGTGCTGATATAAAACTCAGCATGTTCTTAATCACAATACCCCAACTGTTCTCTGCTGCATTCGCTCCTCTCCTCCTTTCTCCTCCTGTGAGCTCCTAAATGGGAACAGAGTTTAACTGTTGAAGAGAAAACAGTCAGATTATTCACTGAAGACGAGCTCAAAACAAAGATACCAATAATCAAGATTTTTTTCTTT